CTTGGAAAAGAAGCACAGATTGTAGGATTTGCACTTCCTGATTTCAAAACATACTACAAAGCTACAGTGATCAAAAGTATGTGGTACTGGCATAAGACTATACATATAGGTTAATGGAATAGAACTGAGAGTTCAAAAATAAACCCATATGTCTATGGTCAATTGATTTTCAACAAGGGTGCCAAGACCATTCAATCGTGAAAGAACAGTCCCTGCAACAAATGGTGCTGGGAAGACTGGACATCCACATATAAAAGAATGAAGTTGGATACTTACCTCATGCCATATACAAAAATTAATAGAAAATGGATCAAAAACCTAAACATAAGAGCTAAAACTATAAAACTCTTAGAAGAAAACATAGGGGTAAATCTTCATGATCTTGTATTTGGCAATGGATTCTTAAATATGCCACCAAAAGCACAAGTAACAAAAGAAAAAATAAATCTGACTTCATTAAAATTAAAAACATTTGTGCATCAAAGAACACTATCAAGAAAGTAAAAAGATAACCTATGGAATGGGGGTCAATATTTGCATATCATATATCTGATAAGGGCCTAGTAGCCATAATTATAAATAACTCTTACACCTAAACAACAAAACCAAAACCAAAACCCACTGCCGTCGAGTCAATTCTGACTCATAGCGACCCCACAGGGTTTCCAAGGCTGTAAATCTCTACGGAAGCAGACTGCCACATCTTTCTCCCGTGGAGCCGCTGGTGGTTTCAAACCTCTGACCTTTCAGTTAGCAGTCGATTGCTTTAACCACTGCACCACCAGGGCTCCTTAAACAACAAAAAGACAACTCAAATTAAAAGTTGGGCAAAGGACTTGAATAGGCATTTCTCCAAAGCAGATATAAAGATGGCCACAAAGCACACAAAAAGATCCTCAACATGATTAGTCTGTTGTGAAATGCAAATTAAAACCACAACGAGCTACTACTTCACACCCACTAAAACAAAAAACCAGTTGCCTTCCAGTTGATTCCAACTTATAGCGACCCTTTAGGACAGAGTAGAACTGCCTCATAGGGTTTCCAAGGAGCAGCTGGTGGATTTGAACTGCTGACCTTTTGGTTAGCAGCCGAGCTCTTTAATCACTGCTCCGCCAGGGCTCCTACGGCTATAATTAAAAAAAGAAAAATAAGTGTTGTTGATGATGCAGAGAAATTAGAGCCCTCGTACATTGTTGGTGAGAATGCAAAACAGTATAGCCACTGTGGAAAAGAGTTTGGTGGTTCCTCAAAAAGTTAAACAGAGTTAGCATGTTGTTGTTAGCTGCAGTCAAGTCGATTCTGACTCATGGTGACCCCATGTGCACAGAGTAGAACTGCTTCATAGGATTTTCAAGCCTGTGGCATTTTGGAAGCAGATTGCCAGGCTTGTCTTCCCAGGCACCTCTGGGTGGGTTTGAACCACCAACCTTTCAGCTCATAGTCAAGCGCTTAACCATTTGCACCACTCAGGGACTCACCTTAAACCAGTTGCCTTGGAACTCATTTCGACTCATCATGGTCCCATGTGTGTCAGAGTGGAAGTGTGCTCCACAGGGTTTTCAATGTCTGTGATCTTTCAGAAGTAGACCACCAGGCCTTTCTTCTGAGATGCCTCTGAGTGGATTCAAACCACCAACCTTTCGATTAGTAGCTGAGCACATATGACCTAAATCAGTTCCACTCCTAGGTATATACTCAACAGAATTGAAAGCAGGGACACAAACAGATACCTGTATAGGAATGTTCAATGCAGTGTTATTCACAATAGCTCACATTTTAAAACAACCCAAAAGTCTATCAAGTAAAGAATGGATAAATAAAAGTGGTATGTCCGTACAACGGAATATTATTCAGCCATAAAAAAGAATGAGATTCTTATACATGTTACACTATGGATGAACCTTGAAAACATCATGCTAAATGATAGAAGCCAGACACAAAAGGCCACATATCGTAAGATTCCACTTTTATGAAATGTCTAGAATAGGCAAATCCATAGACACAGGAAGCATGTTAGCGGTTGCCAGGGACTGGGGGAAGAGGGAAACAAGGGAGTGGCTGCTTAAAGGGTATGGGGTTTCTTTTGGCAAGATAATTAGACAAGAAAATTAAATAAAAGGCATCCAGAAAGGAAGACCTATGAAATGTTATGGAATTAGGTAGTGGTGGTGATTGCACAATATTGTGAATATACTGAAAGCCACTTAATTATACCCTTTATAATGGTTAAAATGGAGAATTTCATTTTATGTGAATTTTACTTCAATTTTTTTAAAAAAAGTTCTCTTTAACTGCAAACTGTTGTGATATGAAGTTGTATTTAATTTTAAATTTCTCGTGTCCATCAACCCTCTGTTACTCTTTAATCGATGAAATGTTTTTAATCATAAAAAAAAAAGAAGAAAGAAAGAAAAAAAGATTCCCATGTTTGCGGACAATGGTGGCTAACATCTCAGATATGACTGCAGGAAAGCGAGATCCCAGAAGTCTATCCAATGATCATCTTTTAGGTTATTTTAATATAATTCAGTGGTTGGAGACGCCCCGCCTCCCAATATTATCCAATTGGCTGGCTACACGCTGTCTTAAGACCAACATCTGAACAAAACAGACTCCATCAAATCAAGTAATTTCATTTTTACTCTATCTGATTTTAGTCCACTAAGACATTAACCTGATTAAATTTTCATTTCACCTGTGTGTGTGTGCTACCTGATTATATTATCTCTGGATAACACATTTTATGAGAGATTTTTCCCTAATGGCTATTTCATAGTCTACACACTGAGTTTGAATAAACAGCTGGTGAGTGCTTCATCTCTTTTTTAAATAACTATTTTAAAATGATTTTTTAAAAAATTTTGCTCTTTGTAGAGTGTTTAGAAACTACAGAAAAAGTGGCATCATGCTGTATATTCCATTGTTGCGTTTGTTTTTAAAATTGAATCTTTGACGCAATTTGGGAATTCCTGCCCTGCCATCGTCCAAAATAATTTACTCTACCTCTAATTATGCAGAAAAGTTCAGAGTATGTAGACACAGGCAACATTTAGAGTCAAACGAACCTGGGCTTAAGTCTTGGCTCTACCATTTACTAGAAGTGTGACATGGGTCAAGTTACTAAGGATCATAGTCCTACCAAACTCACAGGGGCAATTGTGAGGGTTAAATGAGATAATGCACACAAAACGCTTAACAAAAAGCTAGTATGGGAAGCATGAAGAAGAGCAGAAAAACGTTTGTGAGTCTCTGATGCAGGGAGCTGGGCATAAACCAGCATTCTGTGCATTAACATTCTCTGCCTAAGTCACTGACTCAGATTCTTTGCACATCTTTAGGAATGGTGACCCTTTGGAGGGATTATTGCAACTCTAAGGCACAACTTTGAAAGTGTTAAATCCCATAGTCACAAAGTTATCAAAAATATTTTGAAATATTGATTAAATTTTTACTGCCACAGAATAATAATTTATAAAGGTGCTCTCAAAGTGAAAGCCAAGGAAAAAAAGGTGAAATTCAAGGCTTAATACATGTTGAAAATTTACCAAAAATGTAAACTTAATAATTAACACATATAAACATTTTTTTAAAGCCTAGCACATAAGTGCTCAATGTTAACCCTAGAATGGTTCCTGGCATATAACAGATACTCAATAAATTTGTGTTAAAGGAGTACATGCAACTGCTTGTTTGCTATAATGATGAAATTGATTGAGATCATAGTTAGGGGAGGGGGAGGAGCATATTATTAAAGGGAAAGAGGTTCAGAAGAACTTATTGGAAGGGAAGAGTAACATGACAGAACAGAACCCAGAAATAGACTCTGTGTGTATCTGGCAATATGATAGTATGTATATGACAGTTTTGTATCTGTACATCAGTCCTGCTTCTTCAATCAGCTCTCCCCAACCAAGATAACTCATAATTAACATCCTTTCCTTTCTTCCACCTTTCATTCCCTTCTTAAGACGGGGCTGGAAATCTGGTGATAAGGGAAAAATTACATATGTGTATGCCTGTATCTCTAACTAGATTGTAAATTTCTTAAGGGTAATTTTTGCCTTCTCCCCATGAAACAATTACCGTATTTTAAGCATTTAATAAATGTTTCAAGTCAAATATGGCACATTAGAGTCTCAAAATTTGTTGGATGATTGGATTTATAGATGAGGAGTTACTTACTGTGCTTTTCCCCCCACTCTCCCCATCCACCCATAGGGATGCTTCTTGTGACATTTCTGTCAGAGCCCTTTTATTTATCTAACATTTATATCTGATTCTTTACAAAAAGGATTTGAAGCAGCTTTCAGTGTTATTTACTGCACAAGATAAAGATTAGGTAATTGGGGGAGAATATGGTTACTTAAGATAAGCTGAAGGTCAACATATGCCAACAAGATTCACAGTTGCCAGAAGTGGACTACAAATTTGATTCTGAGCTTCCTAGCAACCATCACAAAGAGGGAAAGTTAATTACATAATTCACGCTGTCCATATGAATCAAAACAAACGAATTACTCAGCTAGTTCAGTTACTGAAACTAGTATTTTTCCTTTGGTTTCTCATAAAATCATTGTTTTTGATATAATAAATGCCTTTAAGAATATTCTACAGTAAATGTAAAATGAGATTCATTTTGTATTACGACTCTCAATGTAGCCTCATGTCATAAAAATAAAGATTAGTGGATGAATTTTAAAAGAAACTAGAACGATTTTGTCTAGGTCTGAAGCTCTAGAACTTGAACTTAATTGAACGAAAAAAAAAATCGGGTATCCAGAAAAAATGAGAGATTGTCTTCCAAAAATATTCTTTACAATTACGTTTAGATGAGCGTTAGACGTGACTATAATCTCTAACAGACACCTAGAATACTTTTAATATCACCGCTATGTCTTTAAGGAAGGTACCTCTGACATCATTTTAGGAAAGTTCTGGAACCGTCTACGGTTACGTGAGTGAACAGGAAGCCATTATACCGCCTGAGCAGGTGGACCATGGAGTGTCCTGAGAGAGCGGCTCCAAATCCCTCAGAAAACAATTCAACAGCAACAGCTCCAGCACCAGAAGTACCAAACTACCAAGATGCCGAAGTTCCTGTCGCCCATGACGCCAAAGCCGCCTGCCACCGCGGCACCGAAACTGCCGAAACCGCCGAAACTACCAACGACCATGGCGCCCAGATTCCTGGCGACCATGGCGCCCCAACGGATGCCGACAGCGGTGCCCAAGCTGCTGCCCAAACCACTGTGGAAAACATACTAGAAGGGAAAGGTAAGTGGCTTCAAATGTTTTTCCCCAGCCGAGGCTCCTCTTTGGGAGAGGTGAATTACTACTAGAAGTTTGTTTGAACTGCGACCACCTTTAAGCAAGATAAGAGGCGTAACTTGTGTCCCTCTCCAATGGAGGTAAAAGTAGTGACCGTTGAGGAGAGGGCAGTGGTAAATTCTGTCAGAGCCGTTTGGGCGCGGATGGTGGTTATTACACGACTAGTGGATTGCTGTGTTTGTCCCCAGGAGAGGTCGCCTCATCAAGGGAAAACTCAGTCCAAGCGAACTATTCGAGGGGCAACTAAACGTGCCCCTCCTTTGTACCCGTCACGGTAGATAAACGAGTAGCCTCGACCGTGCCTACTGGGTAAGGGGACTTCATGCGGAAGCCTCGGTCCGCCTCCACGCGGTCCCCGAAGGCCCCGCCCCTCGGCGCTCCGCGCCGGGTCCAGTCTTCCCGCCCCGGCACGCGCCCAACCGGCCGCCCGCGCGCCTCGAGGCCGTCGGC